TCCTCCACGCTCCGGGGAGAGTCTGGCACCCCAAAATCCCCAGCCGGGAAGTGGGGAGCTGAAGGCAGCCACACCCTGCACACGGGAAGACCACGCTGGCAGGGCTGGCTCTGGGCACGGCACTGCCACTGCCGCCCTGCCCCAGCCAACAGGCACCACTTCACTGGGCACTGGCACCGCCGAGCACTGCCAAAGACTAGCACTGCTCTGGGAGCACCCAACCCACCCTGGGCAGGGCCACTGCAACACCCGATGGCCACGGAGGCTCTCACCTCATGGCCCAGCAATGGCAGCGGAGCCCTGTGTCCTGTGGATGCTGCCTTTGCCCAGCGCTTCTTGCCCACTGTCTACCTGGGGGTGATCCCCCTAGGGCTGGTGGGGAACGGGCTGGGGCTGTGGCATCTCTGCACTGGGCCCTGGCAGGGTCCCCGCCATCCCCTGGGCTTGCTGGTGGGCAACCTGGGCCTGGCCGACCTGCTGTACGTCAGCACACTGCCCTTCCTCGTCAGCTACTACCTGCAGGGCAGAGTCTGGCTCTTCGGGCACGGCTGGTGCCGGATCACCCGCGCCCTCTTCCATCTCAACCTCTATGCCAGCATCGGCTTCCTCACCTGCATCAGTGTCCACCGCTACCTGGGCATCGTGCACCCGCTGAAGGCACGGGGCAGGTGCCAAGGGGCGACCTCTTCAGTGTGGCTAAGCTCCATGGTCTGGATGTGGGTCATCGCACAGGTAGCTCCTGATTTTGCCTTCAGCAAGATGGATGATATAGGGACGCGGTGCCATGACACGACAGGGCACGACAACCTGAGTGCTTACTTGCCGTACACCGTGGCCATCACAGTGACTGGGTTCGTCATCCCATTCCTCATCATCATCGGATGTTACTGCCATGTTGTGGTGGTTCTTTGCAGGAATGACACCATGGACCTCAGCCTCAGGAGACGAAGCATCAGACTGGTGATTCTTGTGATGGTCCTCTTCTCTATCTGCTTCCTCCCCTACCACATCTTCAGAAACCTCAACTTGTTGTCTCGAGGCTGGCAGCTGCAAGGATACTGCACACAAGCTTCGAAGAACATCTACATTTCCTACCAGGTGACCCGGGGCCTGGCCAGCTTCAACAGCGCCCTCAACCCCCTGCTCTATATGATGACCAGCGAAGACTGCATGTCACGCATCAGGACCATCCGCCAAAGAGCCAGCCAGTCCCTGGGGTCCGGCTTCAGAAGGAAAACCTCTTGCCAGGTGGACAAGAAGAAGATGAACATCATTTTTTGTGAGGAGGAGGCTTCTGATGAGCTCTGAGGTACCCAATACCCCCTCCAAAGGATGCACCACTTCAGTTTGCGCTTCCCCCCTTCTCGGCAGCAGCCCCCCACCTCAATGCCTGTTTTGCAGAGAGATGGTGACTGCAGCATCACTGGCTCCAATCTCATATGAGGGACAGACAGTACTGCCAGCATCAGAGAGCAAACTGGAACCAGGTTTGATAGCAAAGCTACTCAACCCGAACGCTTTGCCTTCAGTATCCCTGGAGGTGGAAAGAGATAAATGCTGCATTTACTACAGTCCTCAAGTATTTCTCAGTCTGGCCTCCAGTGCAGTGGTCCACGCTGGTTAACATTCCTCGGGCTCCCCGACTGCTCATCATGCTCCTCAATGAATAAGGGATGGGGGTGAACAATGTCTTGTCCTCTGCTGCACCCCCTCTCCCAGTGTGAACATGAGTTTGAGACAGGACTCCCTCCTTTGCCCAAAGACAGGGTCACTAACTCTCTGCGTCGCAGGACAGCTGAGAGGGGGAATTTTTGCAGGGAGGAAGTGCTTGGAAATGGAAATATTAATAAAAACATCAGGTTTTAAATGTATGACTAAGCTGTGCCAGTTCCTGGGTTAGTTGTTCCTGGATGACTGAGCTGCTTCAGGATATGTGTTATCCTCTGCTGCCCACCTCCTTTGCAGAAGAAAAAAGAATTTCAGCATTACTCACTCTCTTCTGGAAGAGCTTATAGCAGACATCAACAAATTGGCATTTTAAAGTTTCTGGAGGCTGTCAGCTGGGTTTGGGTTTTTTGCAAGGTGAGTGAGTGCAGTAGCCTGAACATTGCTTTCAGTGGACAAATCCCAGGAAAGTTTTGAAGTCTTCAGGTGGGTGGCTGCGTTTTACTCTTGCATCTCCTTTATGAGGGGATTAGACATGTCTATTAAAAATGAGACATGCAAAAAAAAAATAGAGAGGCAATGCTGGTTTGAAGGCTTGTGAAGGCAAGATTCAAGAGTGAGGGCAGTCCATGTGCCATTGCCAGAGACGCTGTAGGGATCTCTGTTTCAGGGAGAAGCAGACGCTCCTGAGAAGCATTTTGGGTTTTTTCCTTGGTGTTCCCCACCACAAACAGCTTGAACATTTCAGTCCCTGTGAAAGGAGCAACATCATTTGCAACAGCAGATCTTGCAGCTTGGCTGAAGGAAGTGGATTATGAGTTAAACTCAGCCTGTGCTGGGAAAGCACCGAACCACAGACGCTGCACTCTTTGGACCAAAGCCTGATGTTTATCAGGATCGGCTGCTCCTTGCTCAGCCCCACCTTTGCTGCTGTGTGGAGAGAGCAACGGCTGACTTTCATATGGAGCTAATACGTCCAAAGTGCAAATAAACACCTAATGCTTTCAGTCGTGAGTCGTCTGGCATCTTTTAAAGCTTGATGGGAACACAGGAGCCAGCTGGTCTGTGGGCTGGAGCAGGGGTCTGCCTGCTGTGGGGAGCGGTGATGAGTTTCCCAGGGCTCTGCAGATGGGTCCAGCAAAGCCCTGAAACTTTCAGCTCCCACCTCATCCAGAAGAAACCAAAACGCAAAGCTTAAGTTCCCAAAGGAGATGTTCTGTCTCTGCAGTAGGGAAGATCTTTGGGACTTTAAGACCAGGTCTGGCCTCTGCTGCTCACACAAACTCCCCAGATCTGGGCTTCTTCAGATCTCTAAGCTGCCCTCCTTGCTGCTTCTCCTGCTCTTTCCTGAAAAAATACACCTCCAAAAGCTATCCAGCTTTTCCATCTTTATGCATGGATCCTATCCAAGATGCTACAGCTCCCCACAGAACCAGCCTCAGCTCCTCACAGCCCATGGGAGCTGCAGCACCCTGTCACTGCACCCACTTTATGCATGATTGATTGAAATAGAGCATCACTGCATCCCCGGGGAGGGAGAGCTGCGTAGGAAGTGCCAGCAAACTCTGCTCTCACCCCCTGCATCACTGTGCCCCAACTCTGTCTTCTCCAGTGCCCCCTCCTGTCACTGTTAATGATGATTTAAAGATCTGTATACTGAGAAGCATCTCTGAGCCCCAGGGACAGTTGCAGCCATAAATCTGCTCATTTTTCTATGTCCTGCATCTGTCAGATCAGCAACAGCCATTAAGGATCTCTGTGCTGGGTTGATGCACCTGAGATATCATGGGTTGGTTTTTTTTGTATCTCTTGCTTTGCAGTCCCCTTGATTCTAGAAAATGCCACTTCCCTCTGCAAATTGAAGAGAGGA